ACAATTTTCTTAACTGTATTCTTAATTGTCGTTTCAGACTGATGATTAAAGCCACGAGAATGGTAACATAAGAACATCGTACAACATTTGATCAGAAATCCTCAACGGAAAAGTCGATTTATGAAACCTAAGCGTAGACGAGATAATAATATTGAAAGCATTTTTAAGACACACATTAGACTTTCCTCGTTCGCTGTTTTGCATATTCCCGAATACATTAGTGTCATGACATTTGATCACCGCCGCGTAGGTCACTCGCTTTCTCTCTCTTGCGCATGCGCGCGGAGTAATACAACAGCCCGCATCTATCCGCTCGTCTCAGTAGCTACGTAGATACCGCGACACATCGAGTGTACTTCCACTGTACATTTCGTAGTTCTTATAACTGACTGTTACCCTTGTATTCGGTCACCCTGAAAACTTTCAGCCAACACTATTGTTATTAATAATTAATTATAAATTAAGTACCATGTTTCGTATGTCTTTTTTGTTCATCTAACACAATGTTTTACTTAATATCCTAACTTCGTATATCGTGGTTTTACAATACCTTGGAGAATGGTGAGTGTGTACTATATAATTTGTAGGTGCAGGAATCCAAGATACCAACCAATTAGGGAATTTTGTGAACACGGTATAGTACATCAGAGTTTCATGGATGCCTCGCCCCATACCCCAGCTAACTATAAAGTTCTTAAGCAGGCCCTGAGCCATGAAGAGAATAAATGGTTTTAGCTACCAGTAAAGTTGAGTAGCCAAGCTGCTAGGGGAATCATTCTGTTATCGACCAAGCCATGTGTCCCGCGGTGCACGTAGGGAGCCAGAATGTAGTTACGTCAACTTACAGCTCCTATGTGATTCCAGGGGAGAGTTAACTAAGTCGTGTTCTCCCACAAAAGGAAGAGAATTGGATTCACGTAGTCACAGGAAATGAGCGCACAAAGAAAAATTATAGGAATAAAATGCAAGCAGAAAGAAGATTTGTAAGAACTTGTACAAGCTTTTCTTAAATATTACATACTTAAAAATGGGTGTGTCCCTATTTTTTTTTGGAACCATTTTGGAGATGTCTGCTGTCATGCACTTTACCCTTTAAAGTATAGTTTCTTTGCCACTTGCTTTAATAATCAATAACTTTCAGTGATTATTTTCTTAAACAAAATTAACTACAGTCCACGACTGTAATCTTGAGACTTCCAAGGAATGCAGTAAGTCCTCCTTCCTTCTCCTCCCCGCAAGTCTCAAGATTACAGTCGTGAACTGTAGTTGATAATTTTAACGGTAAAATGTGTTTTCTATATGGTACGGACTAAATTACTAAACAGACCCGTAATTTAAATTTATTTTTATGGGGGTTTAATCAAAATAGGGAATGGATTATGTGTTCTCTGCACGATATTAAAATGTTTTCGACTGGAAATTTCTGTCTGTCTGCCCAATTTGAGAAACGCTGGACTGATTTGGATTAAATTTTGTACGGCAGTTATATCATTTGAACTATCGTAAACTCGTAATTATTTATTTTATACAAACGGTAATATTAACATGACAAACAAACTTCTGATGTGGGACTGACACTGGCGTCATACACTATAAGTCCATACTATGATGAAATGTATTATAATTATCGGAAAAATAAATATTTTTTGGTAAATTTACTATTTGTTTTGTGCAGTATGATATAATGAATGCTGCATTATAAAATAAAGAAAATTCAAGTAGACTAGGATTTGATTCCATGATCACCTGAATATAAATCTAACATTCCATACTATAACTCGTTATTAATTTACAGCGATATTCATTCACGTACAAGACACTGAGGTATTTTTTGTATCGTCACAGATTAACGAAGCCTAAAAAGATAATTCACGTCATATTTTATATATTTCCTTTAATATTAAAACAAGAAAAAATTTACACACATCGTAGGCGATATGCAATATGAAATCAGACCTTCTAAATATATGCTGTTCTTTGAACAGATAGTTTCCGATAAACAATCAAATTAGTACAAAAAGAATAAAACAATGTTTAAAACTTAATGACAATAGTAAAAGTTATGTCAATTACATTGTATTTCGTTCTTTTTTTTTTCTTTTAATAAGAAAATACGTAGTTAAGACTTGAAAAATAACTCTGAAATTGAAGAGAAACGCGTATATTTGACCCATGCTATTAATACTAAGTTTATGGCGGTAGTCATAATAATAAGAATAAAGCTTACGAAATATAAATGTGTTATGAGATGATAAAGTTGCGTAATATTGTGATAAATATATATTTGTTTAAATCTTGTCAGTCAAAAAAAAACATCATTTAAAATCTGATAAACATTTGACTAAAAGTTGCATTTAAGAAATTATATTTAAGTTTATATAATTTTATACACCTGAAGATGGTTCTTTTAGAACTGAAACATGTCGTGTAAAAAGTGATGTTCTAATGTAAATCGAACATTTCGATAGAGAACATCATTTTAAATATTTAAATGTTAATTTTAGTAATATTTTAATATTTAATAGGAATTTTATTGTGATTTGACTGACAAGATTTAAACAAATAAACAAATAAATGTGTTATATTGAGCCCTTTTAATTTGTTTCGAAAGTATAAAGATATTTAATTTAAATTTTTCGAAGAACGCAAATGGAGTCTCTATTGCATGATGGATTACACCTTCTACTCTTACTGATGTAAGGATGTTCTAGCATTATCTGTGGCAATCCGTGAGATATTAAACTGAGATAGTGAACCAAAATCTATAAATACATTAATAAGGTTAAATGACCCTGAGAACAGATGTTTGGTCTATCAGAATGTGGGTCATACTCGATAGTTTTGAAAGCCAATAGTGAAAAGACTACAAGACTTTATTTTGTAAGAAGCCATTAAATATTAGAAGCGAACTTCGGTATTGTGGATATTTTCGAACAATTTCACACAAGTCTTCTGTGGAATCCTAAGGCTTTCACTCTGAAATATCCAGAGATGAAAGCGTTGCACATTCCACTCGATTTCGATCTGTAACAAAGCAGTACAGAATCTGTCGATGAAGAATTTATGGACCTCTGACAGCATGACACTTCAGTAATTTAAATGTTAGTGTTACATGAAAGGGCTAAACAAATCCACTCATGCACGCGTCAGTGACAAGAAAAAATCCGAAATAAGCCGGCGAGTAAAAAAGATGTTTGGTTATTTCATTAATATTCGTCGGGGTGTAGAGAGAAATTCAAGGCGACATAAAACTTGTAGGTTGTAGTTTATTCGCCACTGGATGAATGTTTCATCCAATTTCTCTTCGAACATTCTGACACGTGTAAGATAGAAAGATAGCCACGGTGGTCTAGCGGTTAGAACGCTGGCCTTGTAATCCTGGGGTCTCGGGTTCGATTCCCGGCGGTGCCGGAATTTATAACTTGTGTTGGGCAAGGCCGTGGTCTAGGCAACACGGAGGTTTCCTCCGGGGGCTTCCCCGGTTTCTCCGTGGCATCCCAACAATTACTCCATTCACACACAGAAGAAGGCAATGGCAAACCACTTCTGGATCATCTGCCAAGAACGTATATGAACAGGTCCCAGTCCGAGAAAAGGATGGAAGGATCCTGTTCATATGGACCTGTCGTCAGACAGAACACTAAATAATAATAACTGCGCATATCAAAATTAATAATTTATTTAAACCTACAGATTACATGTATTGTCCATAGCTGAAGAAATGTCATTCTGGTGACTTAACCAATATGTATAATGGGAAATTTATTTTAAACTTATCTTTCAAGATGTGTTTGCTAATTCTTGCGGTTTTTATTTACCGACAGTATTAATCCACGGCATAAAATTCAAATTCTGTGTTGTGGGGGTGTATGATCGCTTATAGTTGGAGAACGGAAAACAAATTTGCATCAAGCTTGCAAAGCTTATATTTTGAGACCAGGACGAGATTTAAGACAGGTCATAACTCCGGAAAACTGTCCATAGTTCGAGTCCCAGCATTAACGAGTCCTGTAGCTCAAAAACTAAACACGACGAAAAAACGAAGCTAAGGAAAAGGTTATTAGTTTGGACGTGGAGATTACAAGAAAAACGGCCCAAATCCCAGAAACAGTTCTGTGTTCGAGGCTAGGTGAAGATGTTGGGTTTTCAGATAATTCTAATAATGATTATAATAGTAATAACAATTACCTATTATTTTATATGATTTTAAGATATGTAAGTATTTGTCTATGTTCCCTGAAGTAACACTACAGGAATTCTGCTAGTAGCAAATAAACCACGATTAATTTTGGATTGTATTTACAATGTTTAAATACTATCGAATACCCAGGTGAATATGTTGAGGCAGTTGGATGATATATAATGTCCAGCGACAGAGACTAGCTCTATCTAAGGTATCCAAGAGCATGTACCTCTGACCTGAAGATGGAGTCAGAACCAGCCTCCGAAACGTTGTGGTTTTTAAAAGAAAAGACGATGGAAAAAGTCCTGATAATAAATAATTTTTAATGCAATCTACCATCGTCAGAAACCTTTAGAATTAAACTATCGAATACGTTATTATTGTTTGTAATTAAACTCTATGTTATAATTTATTATGCCATAATCATGAATAATTAAAACTCGAAATAGCATGTTTTAAAAGTTTTGATATAACTATTTAGTAGACATTCTTTAAGGGGTGAATGTTAATACTTAATTAAAATATCTTATCTGTATATATAAGCCACAGTCTACTTACAAGTCAACTAAAGCGAAGGTGTAAGTAGGCGGAAGTCACCTGGAAAAAGTAAACATTAATATATTAGTATATATTTTTACATATAAGTACACTGTCCATTATATTAGTATAGAAACCTCGTTTCGATATTTCTAATACCATCTCTCTAGAATACTAGAAATTGGTGAACCTAGGGTTACGCCACTCTTGCTGCGAATACAGGAAGACGTAAAATATCTCCGAGCTTAGATGACAGTTACAGATAAACACGTAGGAGATCGGAATTATTACGTTTAGAATGTAGAAGTAGCTTCCGCGGGTTAAGGCGCGTTTTTGCATTAATTTTTTTAGTTCCTTTATTTTACAAAATACAATGTAGCGTAAAAGTCGATATATTAAATGACATATATTCAATCATATTTCATTAATGTTTTCGAATCTTTTACTTCACAGACTGGTATAAACATCAATAACACCACCTGAACAATAATGTTATATTAATAATATCTAGACACAACTTCCATAAAATATACTGAGAAAGATGATAAAATTATAAAATTGTAAAAACTATAAATAATTGTAATTTGAGTTTAAAATTTTATAATTTACACCTGATGACGGTTTGATAAACCGAAACATGTTGTGAATGTTCCGATGTAAATCGAATGCTCGATATGGAACATAAGATGATATTTTAATCATTTTAATTATCTTAACTTACTATTTTATTGTGATTTGACGGTAAACAAATATAATAATTATTTTTATATTAAATGACACCAAATTTGTGAAAATTAAAAGAAGAAAAAAATTCAGTTATACTAAATATGCTTAGACTCCTTTTGTCTCACTCCTCCCTAACCTTTTAATCTTCAATTCTCCTGTTCCTGCGACGTAACCCGAGCTCCGAATTATTTTGCAACAACTGTACTTACCACTCTTTACTACACAACTTCGTACAAAGTATATTTTTCATCAATTCACAACTCAATGTCGAAATTAACATTTAAGTTGGCTGTCTTCCGGGTAGCCATGTAGTCTGGTAGAAGTTTACCGACGTTTCAGAGATACTTTCTGCCTCCGTTTTCAGTTTTATCAGACTACACGACCATACAACCCAGAAGACAGCCATCTTCGGACTAACCTCGAATAGTACCTAATAATTATATTAATTGATTTTTCAACAGAGCACAGTAATCTCCTATAAACTCACTTATTTTTTTTATCTCTGCGAGGTTAGGTTATATCAAAAGAAAGTGCATTTGGAAAATATTTACATGCCATTTCACTCTTCACCTTATTTTATTTGTAGTAATCTGTCTGCCAACGAGTCCATATGAACAGGATCTTCCATCCTTTTCTCGGACTGGGATCTGTTCATATACGTTCTTGGCAGATGATCCGGAAGTGGTTTGCCATTGCCTTCTTCTTTGTGTGAATGGAGTAATTGTTGGGATGCCCCGGAGAAACCGGGGAAGCCCCCGGAGGAAAATTCCGTGTTGCCTAGACCACGGCCTTGCCCAACGCAAGTTATAAATTCGGGCACCGCCGGGAATCGAACCCGAGACCCCCCAGGATTACAAGGCCAGCGTTCTACCCGCTAGACCACCTCATCTTATTATTATTTAGTGTTCTGTCTGACGCCAGGTCCATATGAACAGGATCCTTCCATCCTTTTCTCGGACTGGGACCTGTTCATATACGTTCTTGGCAGATGATCCAGAAGTGGTTTGCCATTGCCTTCTTCTGTGTGTGAATGGAGTAATAGTTGGGATGCCACGGAGAAACCGGGGAAGCCCCCGGAGGAAACCTCCGTGTTGCCTAGACCACGGCCTTGCCCAACACAAGTTATAAATTCGGGCACCGCCGGGAATTGAACCCGAGACCCCCAGGATTACAAGGCCAGCGTTCTGATCGCTAGACCACCGTGGCTCCCAAAATACGTGCGACAGATAAAAGTATCTACAAGATTTATTGTAACACGAAGGATACAAAGTAAGTACGAAAAAGTGTAAAGCATCATGCATAAAGACTCATTTTATTATCTACACTACATTAGCCTGTTACCAAAACTGTGTTTCAAGGTCACAGCAAAACCGTACAACGTTGCATTACGAACAGCTTAAACCAGATGAGTGGGACAGCTTAGTACGTAAACAGTAGTAAAGATGGCAACGCTCTACCCCTGACTTTGAGCCGCGCTGTAGAGAGAGACAAAGTCCTTCCGTGACCTTGAAGCGTCTAATTTCGTGACGGCTACTTTGTTTTAAACTTCCCACAAAAGCTTTTTTGAACATTTTAAAATTATCATACTATTTAACTGAATTTTATTAACCTGACGAATGATTTTTGTAAACATGCTTTATTGTTAGTAAGCTAAAATTAACTATAAATTATTGTATTAGAATTTAGCGTACTTTTAAATCAAATGTAAAATTACTCAAAACGAACACTGATGTGCCATTTGGGAGATGAAATGCGTATGGTAGTATAAACTAATATTTAGTAAATAGAAATTGTTGTTCTGTGTGTAAGTAAGCCTCAGTTAGATTTTCATGTATACATTCGACACCAGGCCTTTCGATAGATTTAAATGTCACTCACAAATTTGAAATATGCTTTTTAATAATCGGGATGATGGACATCCTTACAATAATTTCTCACCATTTATTTACGTGTGTAGTAATGCGTATATTTATCTAAAGACTGTCACAAAAAGATGTATATACACATTCAATAAATAAAATATAAATATTTTAATACACTGAACCATTACATACGTCAGCATTAGCACTTAGTGAATTATAGAATCTAGTGTGGGTGTTCAAAATGGCCACGGATAGATTCGAAGCTCACTTCAAAGTAGTGAACAAGTGACTGAAAAGAAGCTACGAAATGTTTTGTTGTTTGTGTCTTTAGGATACCTGTATTTTGTATTGTGACGATCCCAAAAAGTTAGCAGTGCACTTTACCAAGACAACGTGATGTCCTAAAGAAATTAGGTTATATTGCTTGCAATGTACTCTACTTGTTACGACTGTAATGCTCTCTACAGGCAAAGGATTCGATTAACACCCAGGGACAACTTTAAGACTTTGTCTCCAAGGAATCCTTTTATTTTGTTCGCTATCTACAAATATTCTCTGTGCAGTCTTTGCATGGAAAGATCTCTGGTTTTAGTTTTGCTTTATATATAAATACAACATTTCTGCATGAACAGTATTGCTTGAATACATACGTACATATTATTCCCCATACCTGGAATTTCTACATAATTTTCAACTTAATTTAAAACACGATTTATATTTATAATATTACAACCTAAAGGCATAAATTATAAGTCTAAATAACTATTACATTTATCTACAAGGTTTCAACACTTGAGCTCTGAAATTAAAGGCCAGATAATTGGAGTGATCAAGGAACAATCTGTAAATTATCCTCATAAATAGTTAGTATCGATAGTCAATACAATACCGAAGTGTTACTATTTCTGAAGAAGATTTGAATAATAGCGATCTCTAACTTTGTCATAATTCAAAATTTTCGTGCAACTCTGCGGAAAATCAGAACCACTGCTTCATTACTCAAACTATTCACAAATTCTGCAACATCCTCCATTACATAAGAAAGTTCCCAGGTTGCTATATAATTAATTTCTTAACGCTTTTTCCTTGCGTGTACGTTGGGATTAGACAAGACAGTCTGATTATGAAATGAGAACATTAACCCCATAAAACAAATATTTCATTTTTTGTGCGTAAGTAACAGAATATACCAAAAATACCCTTGTTATGTTCGCCATATTTGTTTGGAGGCATATAACCACTCGAAAATTGATGAACTGATATTCACGAAATTTAACATTGGCGAGTTTCATTACACTGTGTCGATATATAACAATATTGTTCACAATCTTTTAAAAATAACGGACAATTTAAATAAAGTCAGATAAGTTGATATAATTGCGTCATATTGTGAATTAAAATTTAATTATTCGTGTTTTTTCCGTCTAATCACAATTGTATATAAATAAACCAAATTATACATAAGATATTAAAATATCATTTACATCTTTCAAGTTCAATAATATTTTAAATTATTTACGTTACAGGCCAATGTTAAACCACTATCACTTCAAAATACACCCTCACTCCAATGAATTTGGAAGTAAACATCATCAGAAGTTACACAACAACAGTAATTAAGTTTTAGTTTATAACATTATAATTTTTAACTTTTAACTTTACACCTGAAGATGATTCAATGTAACCGAAACATGTAGTAAAAAGTTGTACCAAATATGTAAATGATATTTTAATATCTTATGTATAATTTTATTTATATACAAATGTGATTAGACAGAAAAAAACACGAATAATTAAAGTCAGATAAACCTTTCTACTCGCATCTCAACAGTAAATATCTAAATATTTGTTAAAAAAACATTTTGGAACAAAAGTTAATTTAAACAGATAAAAATGCATAATATTTAATGTCCTATAAATTTAACGAAAAGTTAATTTAAACAGATAAAAATGCGTAATATTTAATGTCTTATGAATTTAACGCATGTCTTCCGGTTTTAGATATAATTTAACAAAACGTGCTACATAAATCGATATCTGTTGGATATCGATATGTTCAATACAGTGTTACACTTTAGATCAGCGTGGTCGTAATGGCGGCCCAACTGCCAGGTATACGTCAAAAGAAAATTTATGGTTTTTCTCAGTCACCTCAGAAACTCCTATCAGCAGAAAGTATGCATTTACAATTTCTTCACACTTCCTTCAGTACATAACTTTCGTAATCACCCTGTAATTTCTCACACGACATGAGACAAATCGTCATACAAAATACAGCGAAACAATCAAGAAACATCAATTATGGCCTTTATATCATTTGTGCACAAAACTCCACTGCCACATTCGAATCAGTTTAGTTCTTTAAGAGCTTGTTGTATGTTCTATTTGAAGTTTAACATTGGAGCACATAAAAGAACAGAAATTGAGTCGATTCGAATCAATCGTATCACCTGCACTAATCGATTACTTTTC